GAGCTGTTTAGTGGAAATGAAATGAGCACCCTTGGAACCCAAATCACTGTTGTCTGAGCTTCAGAATACAAGGTGGAGATGGCAGTGAAGCATTGTGGGTATAGCCACTCCCCCTTAGGATGGAATATCAGCACCACAGAAGCAGACATATAAAAATACTCTCCCTCTAGCTCTGATGAGAACTTGGAAAATCTAGTGATGCCATTACCTTAGATGGCTCTTAATAGGTGCCAGAAAATATAACATCAGTATTTGTCTCTGTGTTGCTGCCTGGGGCCCTTAACAAATGTTCAAGGTAACACTACAATTGTCAGAATTTGGAATGGGCATGTTCTTGGTGATTCTGACACATAAGAAAATAACTTGCCTGTCTTGGATGATAAGAAAGAGAATGTGACCTGAGAAATCTCATGAGACATGAGATTAAAGGAAAATTCAGCCTAGAACACCCACATACTTGGAAAAGTCCTTTCATTTGGTGTAGTCTATATATTTTTGTATAACCTAATATGGGATTTATCAAAAATAATTCACCGGAGGCTGGTGAGTCAGTAAAGTGCTTACCCAAAAGCTTCAGGAGGGCCTGAGTCCAGGTCCCTAGCACCAATATAAGAAGCCAGGCATGGGCAATGCACGGCTTTAATCCCAGCACTGGGGAGGCAGAGACGGGAGAATCTCGTGGCTCACTCACAAGCCAGCCTAGCTCAGTCAGTGGACTACAAGTCGGTCAGTGACTCCCTGTCAAAAACTAAGGTGGAGAGTGAAGAAGACACCCAGCATCACCACTCATATGCATACACATGAACACATACAAATCATTCCTCAGAACATGCTGTAATTACCCTTTTGCACATGAAGGTGAAAGGTTGGTACTCTAGAAAAAATGATGATATAAAAGAGTGATGGTCACATACAACTTCTGTAAAGTTAATGCAGCCAAACTCAGCCATTTCTCAAGCCAGCTGACTGGTATTTTTTACATTTCCTTGGTGCCTCAGTATCTCCTTACCAAAACACAATAAGAAGGCCAGCAGGGGCCTGTGCAGTAGAACAAGCTAGAATAACACAGGATGTCCTGATTCTTTAGCCTGGAACCTGTGCATGGGGCTCCAGGCAAGCTGGGAACTGAACCTGCTGTGGGAAGCACAAGAGAGACTAAGTGAGGGGCTCTGTTCTGTAACGAGCCTGCATACACTAACAAAACACAAATCTGGCCCACTTCTTATTTTTCCACCCCAAACCTTTGCTCAGCATCAGGACGAGTGTCAACTGAAGTGAGTAGTCCGTTTACCACCAGAATTACCTGGAAATTCTCTAAGTCTTCATGTAGCTTGCTTTTCCCAGAGGACATGTACAATCTTTGTGGTAAATACCATATTAAAAGGATATAAACACAGATTCTTTCTCATAATGCCCCCAAGTCAATGAGCAGCAGTTGGAAAAGGAAAAACAGATGTTCCTGCATGGCTATGTAGCATTTTATTAAAACGCTTCTCTCTAAAGCAGTGATCTGTCCTAGTAAAGACTACATGGGTGTTTAGAAGATGGGGCAGCTCTTATCCCACTCAGAGGCAGCTATTCTGACCTAACAACTAACTATACAGCCCTTGCAGAGCTAGCACATAGTAAACATTCAGTAAAATTCAACTGCTAAGTTGACCAAAAAGAATTTTATTAGAGGAAAGAAGCTTCTAGAATTGTCATTGTTTCATGCAGCATTCCAGTTTTGCTGAATCAAGGAGCTGACAACCATATGGAAAACATGCCATTTCTGCTGCTTGTGATACTTTAAAATAGAAAACCATTTGACTCAGATAAAGAGCACCTGCCAGGACATATTACTCCTCTGGCTACTTACCTTTTTTGCTTTTGGAGAACAAGAAATCTCAATGATAGCACAAAATAATGTAATAGGTACAGTTCATTTATTAAGGAGTCTGTTACATCTCATTCTGTTAGTTTTGTCTTAAATTATGTATTTGCAGGCATCACCCACCTGGTGTTTACCACAGAGCCATACGTTTTTAGCAGGGTTGTCACCTGGGCTATCTTTCTCTCTGATGGGCACAATCTAGATGAATTTAGACAGTATCAGAACCACATTCTCCCCAGATGGAGACATTGGCCACTGAGTGTCACCATGCACCCTAGGGTCTTGCTGCTTAAATACTAACCCAAGGTGCACTTCCAGAGTAAATCCAACCTGGTTGCTCTCTTTCTATAGGAAAGGCTCATGCTAATGAAGAAAATAGTCTGTATTACTGACTGAGCCAAGTAAAGTCAAAGATTTTATAAACCCTCTGATAAAAGTGTCTCCTCTCATGAGGATGCGTAAAGCGCCAGCTCTACAGAAGATCTCTCTCTCTCTCCTCTCCTCTCTCTCTCTCTCTCTCTCTCTCTCCCTCTTCCCTCCCTCCCTCCATCAGGGTACCTGGCCCAGTGTCTTGAGCACTGTAGGTGTTCAATAAATATTCTCTCTCTCTCTCTCTCTCTCTCTCTCTCTCTTTCTCTCTCTCCCCCCCTTCCCTTCCTCCCTCCCTGTTGGGTTATGTGAAATGTGAAATGAAGTCTTAATAACCTGGAACAGCACTGATCTGAAGAAAGTGATCTTGCCTGCCCCCTCTGAGTTCTTGATTTGCCAATAATGATCAGTAGAGGCATCTCTCACCACCACAGCCCCTTCCAGTCACACACATGCTCACTCTGGAGATGGGAGTTTCAGTACCAGAGAGCAACAAGTTTTTTGTTTTTGTTTTGTTTGTTTTTTGTTGTTTTTATTCCCTACAAAGGCCAGTAACTTATGAGATTTTAAGGTGCTAAGTACTCCCTCTCAAAAGGGTATGTCTTTCATCTGCATCTTCTATTTGGATGCCATGTTCTCAGCCCTGGTTTCCATCTGCCCCATAGTGGGCTAGTTTAAAAAGTCCATTGCTGATTATTGCAAAGCTGCCCTACTCCATTACATCAATATGTTGATCTTCTGTGATGATTGGAAAGGTAGAAATCCCCCAAAATAATCACCTTGTTTTGATTGGACAAGTGGTATTGTTCAGTTACTTTGGATGATTTGGCCCCAGCTCAGCTTGCATCATATCCAGTTTGCCTTAAATGAGATTCCTTATTCATGAAAGCCTGAGGCAGAGGTTAGAGTCAGAAGGTAAACAAAGGGGCACTTGATAATTTTATCAGATACTAAACAACCAAACAATTTTATTTTTTAACTCCTTCTATATCAATCCATTTTTCATTACTATAACCCAAGTACCCAAGGCTGAGTAATTCTATAAAGAAAAGGTTTATTTAGGTCAGAGTTCAAGAGGTTCAAGGACATGGTGCCAACATCAGCTCAGTTCTGATGAGGTCCTTCTGGCAGGAGGCATAAGCACTACAAGACAAAGCCAGAGAACACTTTGGGGACTGTGCCCACTCTTGGGAAAACTTAAGAACTGTGAAATCTACCTTCATTCCTTCTGAGGGCATGACCCCAGTGACCCAACAGCCTCTGGCCCTGCCTCATAACTGTGCCACCCTGGGAACTAAGCTTGAAGCACTGGAAGATGAACAACATCCGCACCATAGCACACCCATTTAGAAGTGCCTCACATTCCCACCCTATAGTGGCTCACCCCAGGGGGAGATGGCAGAGTGCCAGGCTCAGGGAGGAGGAACTGCAGGAGGAAGAACCACAGCGTGGTGTTATGTTTTGTTTTTGGTAGAGCAGTGCTAAGAGACACTATTGCTTCCACCCTGTCATTAGTGGGTGGGTCTTAGGGATACAAAACAAGAGATAAATTAGGATAATAAGAGGCAAAGGAAAAAGGAGTAAATTTTCCACAAGTAATATTTTTCTCTTCATGGTTATTTAACTTTGAAAAAGAACTTGAAAGTAGCAATCATGGTTCTACAGTAGACAAAGGACAGAGTGTGGGAGCCAGACAGGAAGGTGTGAGAGTCTTTATTACATTAACTAGAAACATGCATGAAAATCCACAACGTCCAGGAACACACTGCTGTTTATCACAGAAATCAGAGTAAAGGAAAAACTATGTATGGCCTGCTATGCAGCCTGTGTCTAATTTTGTCCTCAACTCATAAACATATATCCTTTAAGTAGGTCTCTGTCTTCTATGTTCATTTCTTGGGTTTCCCTTTGGATGATGGTGGAGAGATAGTAGAACAATTAAGTGGTAGGGGGATTGACACACAGAACCACCTTTAAATAAGAAGGGCAGATGTTTGCAATTTCTTTTATTTATGTGTATGTGTGCATTGTGCATGCCTGTATGCCTACATGTGTACTGGTGCCCTAAGAAGATAGAAGAAGGCATCTAGAGCTGGAGTTGCAGGTGGTTGTGAGCCACCCAGTATGGGTACTGGGAACTGACCTCCAGTCCTGTGCAGGAGCAGCACGTGCTGTTGACTGCTGGGCTGTCTCTCCAGCCCCTGCAGCTTTTCTTAACTATAAAGCATCTTGATTAAGTGATTTAACCAAGAGGCAGAAAGCACCTACAGAGTGGAAGTGCCTGAGCACCAGACAGAAAACACACTCATAAGTGATTGTGAATACTACAAACAGAAAGGCTGTGTGAGCACTGTGACAGACAGAAGGATGGAAGGAGCCGGGACCCCACCTGGGAAACGAGAGGAGCATTGAGTTTGGTGGAACTCCAGAAGGCCCAGTGTGAAAAGAAGTTGAAAAGTGCCACAGTGTTTGGAGACTCCTCTACCTTGTCAGAAAACTGGTTCTTCACAAGTTTTCTTAGCACTCTAGTTTAGAGATAACTAGTTTATTAGTCTGCACCATTTTTCAATAAGGACCTGAGAAAATGCTTGCCTTAAATTGTTCTGTGCTCCTTTAAAGAAAGAAATCCTGTACATTTTGTCATAGACTCCTTGTAGCATAAGATGGTAATAATAGCATTTGATAAAATTGGGAGTTTGTTAGCCCATATAACACATATAATTACAGTTCTATGTCATTTCCCCCTGTTCATGTGCAGCTCCTACAGAACCTTTATTGTGCAAGTTTGCAGATGGAGGACAGAAGAAGAGACAGAACCCAAACAAATACATCCCTAATGGACGACCATGGCACAGAGAAGGAGAGGTGAGACTTGTAAGTCCTTTCTTGAAACTTAAGTGTGGGTGTGTAATCCTGAGTGGTTTCATAAAAGTTCCACAAAGGCGTCTTGCCTGGGCTGCTACACTTCTGAATGGATCCAGAGTAAAACTTCCTTCTGGTGCATTGTAACTGAAAGGGTATCTGACTGCAGGCCTCTTCAGTGCATATGGTGCTGAGTGAGGAATCTCCCGCTGAGCAAGTAGATGGTGGGATCATCTAGAGCTGCATAACTGCAAAAAGACTACAGTGGAAGTGATGAGTTGGGGCACTTTATTGCTTTTTGTGTGTGTCTTCATTTAGACATAGCCTTTTAAATGGGTTGGCATTTATAGCATTCAGGAATTAATCCAAATGACATAGCATATTTGTCATTGAGAATTTGAGTTTTGCATTTTTAATTTGTTTTCTTTTTGCTTTTTAAGCTGTATTCTTTAAAAGCTCCTTTTGGGGGGGAAACCTTCAATTTCTTAATTAAAATATTGGACCCTCACTTCCTATTTTTAATTTTTAGTGAATTTTAATGAATTAATTTTTAATGAATTTTATGTTTAAAAAAAAAAAACATAAAGATACAAGAATAAGAATACCTGGAGAAAATGCGCCTGGCTCCATGCCACTGAGTGATGGCCACTAGTCATGTGTGGCCAACTAAGCACTTCACATGCAGCTATGTCACTGGAGAGATTTAATTTTTCAGTGACCTCTTATGGGCAATGGCTGCCATATGGGACAGCGCAGATCTAGAGCTCAGTTCTTGTGTTGGGTTTGTAATTGTGCTTGGCTAATAGAAACTACCAATTTTATCAAATGCTGTTATTACCATCTTAGGCTACAAGGACTCTGCGAGACGGAGTTTCCCAAACAGTGCCTTTCTAGATGAGCATTCATGTTTCCTTCTCCTTCCTGTAGGCTGGAATGACACTCACTTATGACCCAACTACAGCTGCTCTACACAACGGGTATGTCTTTAAGATAAATGCATAATGGCTTGAGGGATGATAAAGGCAGAAAGTATCAAGACATTTGTTCCATGAATGATTCTATTTAAAGGATTACTTAATAAAGGCTTTTGTGTTTGTTCTAGATTTTATCCTTCACCATACAGTATTGCTACAAACCGAATGATCACTCAAACTTCTCTTACACCCTATATTGCATCTCCTGTATCTGCCTACCAGGTTTGTACCTCTAGGGCTTGTCAGCAGTGTGACAACTTGTACACCACACATCTCTGATGCATTTTTATGTGTCTTCAAATTCTGAACAGTTCATAATGAAATTTAAGTCAAATTTTATGCAGCTTGGATACCCAGTTTGGAATAAGCTGCCTTTTCTTTGGCAACACAATTTTCTTTTACATATAAGAGGATATAAAGCCAGGGAAGTAGTTGGAATCACTACATAGTTTTAGAACTGGGATAAAACCACATACTTCCTCTACCATGTGTCCCAGAAATTGAAACATAAGACTCTTAAGAGAATTAGAAAATATAGAGTGATTGATGATAGATGTTAGATGATTGATAGATAGATAGATAGATAGATAGATAGATAGATAGATAGATAGATAGATAGATAGATGATAGATAGATAGATGATAGATTCATTCATTCATTCCTGGGTTTTGTTTATTTGCCCGCAGGAACTGATATAAGAACAGTTAACTCCTAATGCACAAATTAATTACAACATTAATTGATGCAGTTGAGATTTGAAGCCGAAAGCAAGAGGCAGCTCCCATTTGACTCTTTGGTGGGGAGACTTTACCTCCAAGTACATTTCCAACTGAGAAGCTAAACGCCATTAGCTCCTTGTCAGGACACTAATCTAATGGTATTGCAGGGCCAGCTTGTTCTTCATGAATCAGCCTTTCTCTTCCTGTATCAGAGTTCCCCCAGCAGGTATACTGCCTGGGCCCAGACAGTATCATAATGGAATTCAGTTACTGATCTCTCTTCTGTTGACTGCTGGGACCTTGTGTGACTAAACTGAACTTTGGGTAGTTTTGTTTTTAAAATTGAATTAGATGTTGTAGTCCTGACTTCTTGGGTTACAGGACTACAGTATCTAATCTAATAGTTGTGTTGTCTAACAGCTATAAGCCTTAGTTTCCTCATCTTTAAAATGGGGATAATAATGGTTCCTACCTCATAAATTTGAGCGAGTTCTAAGAACTAAATGAGAAAGTAAAGAGCTCCACACAGTACCTGACATATCATTAACACTCAGTAAATGTCAGCTAGCATCACCATCATCATTATACATTAGTTGCACTTTTTCAGTAACGGCTAATCAATATAATGGAAGTTGGTTTTGTGTACAAATTATGAAGGTTATTTGAAATAGAGAGAGACATGGTTGTACACTGAAAGCAAAGCTTCACAGTGGGGCTACCACCACCTTCAGCCTTCAGGTTCTCCTCCAGCCTCCCCTGAACTGCCACTCATTGTCTGGCTGCTATTTCACTCTGGTATACCAGTCTTCTGGGCATAGAATTCATTTATTTCATGGCTCTTCAGTCATTTAAGAGTTAAGATTGCTATCTTTTCTTTGCTTCTCAGTGAGACCTACTGTATATAGGACATTAGCCCTAATAAACAGTTCTCTGGCTGATACTAAAAGATAATTTTTAACTATCTGAAAATGACAGCCATTAAGAGGGGCAAGTATAGGTTCATTCTTAAGCAAATGGAAGATTATAATTCATGTTGCTATAGATGTTTCAGCTATTAATCCATCTCTACCACTTCTTTTCCCTTTTTTTAGTATAAAATCAATGTGCATGTCACAATCATCTCATAGAATAAAAGGGTTAGGAGGCCAGTGTTGCTAACCAGTTTGACACAGTTAACTGCAAACAACCTGTCATTTCAAGGCCTCGTTTCTTCCTTGAGGAATTCTGTGTTTTTGTAAGATCTATGTGGAATTTATTCCACTTACCTGACACTCAGTGCGGCAACCTCACAGCTGGTACCTATCCTCTTACAGTCAGGATCCAAGCAGAGTCAGTGGGTGAGCCTCCAGTAATCTGGGATTCCTTTAAGTTGTTTGCAAAGTATTTTTAATGTACAGTTTGGGGGTGGAGAGCTCTATTTTTTTCAGCTTCTCAGGGGACTGATGATAAAGAGTTAATGGATTATGTTCCCATTTCATAATTAGGGAATATTGAGGAAAAGAAATGGACAGCAGCTGATTAGCTGCTTAAAATTTGTAATGGGATTAGATGTCATAGCTCCTTAACCCCATAATGCTGTAAACACTTAGACTATTAAGACCATAGAAACATACCCCAAAACTGGGATCATCCAGCCCAAATTGGGGTCTGCAAGGAGCTGCTTGCCTCCTGTGATGTGTCCAGTGAGGGTCCTATACTCATGTTGGAGTTGCCTTCTCCACTAAACCACCATATACTTATGCAGTTGGATTTGAGAAATTGGCATCTGCAAGGAACCATCAGTACCCCAATGGGGAAAGGCTGCAGTCCAGATAACTGAAATGCTAACAAGGCAGAAGCACTTAACTTTGGTCTGCCTTAGGTGGCAAAGGAAACCAGAGAAAACAAGTATCGGGGCTCTGCTATCAAGGTAAATCGCACGACATTCTTCCCCCATGACTCTTCCCCATATCCTCTCTGTAGAATCTCTGAAGTTAACACTCAGGGACAGGACAAGAGGGTTTTGTTAAGAATTGGAAACTGAAACTTATCCTAGAATTCCATAGACCCTGGAAAGCCATGGGCATCAAGAAATAGACTGGTATGATCTCCTTCTCCGTGGTGGGATGTGTTCTTTCCCACCACAAAGCCTGACCCTCACATCTTATTTCTCAGTTCAGAGGGTCTACTGTGTGGGTGCCCATTTAACTTAACTGTTGACGTCAAGATCTAATTACCCCCTTTAATATCCTCAATCTGAATATCAGACATTTATTTCCCAACATAACTAGAAATTGTTGACCACTACATAAGATTTCTAAACTTAATTTCCTGATTATCAAAGAGATTATATTTGGTTATTCTGTAAATAGTACATACTTTGAGGGTTAATTTCTAATAACATATCCTAGAATTAACCCTCATGCATCAATATCCCTAAAACATGTAGTTCATATTTTGATTGTGACACTTTTCACTAATTTGAATTGTTTACATGTTTATTTCCCTTGCTTAGACAGTAAATCAGTAAAATTTTCATGGGTGGGGCCCATGTCTTACCCACATTTTGCTCTTTGATACCTGATGCTCATTCAATAGATACTTATTGAGTGTGCAAACAGGAAGTGGTTCCTTTCATCTCGCTCAGAGTGACCAGTTGTTCAGGAACTCTAACTGCCTTAACCTCTTTAATCACTGGTAGTATTGTCTCCTATTTTCCTTCTGTAGATCTTTAACATGATTAAAAAGAACTCTAGAGAGTTGGGTAATTATTACAGTAGAAATCAATATTTCTCTCAAAATCCTCCCTTTTCCAGGTGCAAAGTCCTTCTTGGATGCAACCTCAACCATACATCCTACAGCATCCTGTAAGTTTCTCATGTTAATGACTTTGTGTTCTGCAAGGAAACCATTGTGTATAGACTCTGTGGGTTAAAACCCTCTGCCAGGGGCTGGAGAGATGGCTCAGCGGTTCAGAACACTGGTTGTTCTTGCAGAAGACCTGGGTTCGAATCCCAGCACCCACATGGCAGCTAACAACTGTCCGTAATTCCAGTTCCAGGGGATCCGACAGCCTCTTCTGTCCTCCGCGGGCATTGCACGACACGGGTACACTTATCTGCACGCAGGCAATACACATATACACATAAAATTTAAAAATAATAATAATAAATAAAATATGAAAAAAACCCTCTGCCAAAGATGGTACAGGATTTAGAAACCTTAGACGTGCAATGAAAATGCACAATTCATTATGAAACTTCAATTCACCTTTGTCTTAAAATGAATTCTTGGTAGACATAAGAACTTAAAATGCATTCTGTTTGAAGCAAGGTATTGCTTTTGTACTTGGGCCAGTTCAGTACGCTATCGTTAATTGAGTGACTAAATATTTTATAGTGCTTAGAATGAAGCAGCACTTGCTTTTTCTATTCTGTTTAATGCAAACATAAAGTTCAAACTAAAGGGGGAGATCTTCATCACTGTTGCATAGCTGCTCTGTGGAAAGTATAAACACTAAGATAGTATATTGTTTTTTCATCTCTCCAGTGATTTGAGAATTTGTTCTCCTAATGTGTAAGCAATATTACATTTTTAACATTATACTTGTCCATTTTATATAGTACATTTAATGAGTCAGAGATGCCCAAAATCCAATTTGTTGAATTAAAATGTAAGGTTAAAAAGTTAAAAGCAGCTGAGTATAGTGGTGCATGCCTTTAATCCCTGTGAGATCAAGGCCACCTGAGGTACAGGGAGACCCTGTCTCCAAACAACAACAAAAAAAAACAGTAAGACAGAGACTGCCAGGGTGACCTGCATGTTTGCACCTAGAAGGCCACAATTTGACCTTTTGCTTTCTAGTTACCAGTGCAAAATAAGCATCCTCATAATGAAGGTACTTCACAATATTTGCAGTACAAAAAACAGATCAGTTATTCAGGAAAAGAACTCAACTTTTGGCCTTAAAATGAAATAGGGATTTCCCTCCCCAAAATGGACACTGCAGTGTGAGACCATGTATATAAAATAACCATCCAGGAATAACAAGCGCTGAACAGAAAATGCTGAGCCAATCTTTCAGAAGCTTCTGATGGTGCATGAATGTGTGTATGCATACATCCACAAATCTGCATATGCCTACACCCATATCCATGACAGGCACCTGCACCTAAAACATGAAATGTATCTCTTTTTTTCTTTTTGGTGACTTTTAGAGTCAAGGACTGTATATATTTTAGTTTAATTCTTTGAGGAGACAGGAGGAATCTATATTACCATTCTCTACCAAGATTCAAACCATATTAAACATATACCTGTGCCTATGGCTGGGTATCTAGTCAGTCAATGATAGTGCATTTAAAATGATATCAGCTGCAGTGATCCAAAAACCTACTTTAGTATTTATGGAGTAGAAGAGAATACTTGCATTTTGTGGCTTTTGGGTGATTACAAAAATGAGACATGGTAAAATCCATTGATTATGTAGGAAATTTAGACAAAAGTCCAAACAGTTATATTGTGGTATATATATAACCAGCACAGCATGATCTAACCTTTCTAATTGACAATATCCAAGCAGTTAGTCAATGTTTCTAATAGAATGCTAATTTAAAAGGAAGAACCCAAAATAAGACACTGTTCGTGTTCTGATTGCAACTAGATAAAAAAGCAGAATCCAGCCTTCAGTAGCAGATGCTGCTAAGACTGGCTCTGTTACATTTGGGGGTGGTGGGGGGGCACTTGTCTTTTTTAAAAAATGTCTTCCTGTCGTCCCAGCTGGCCTGTCATTCACCAGACTGGCCTCAATCTCACAGAGCTCCTCATGCCTCTGCCTCCCAAGTGCTGGACTTAAAGGCACGTGCTACCACACCCAGCTAATGCATTTGCTTTTAATGCCAAACATTTATTCAAGCAAAACAAAAGAACAGAGGCCTGGAGTGGCATTAACTCAGGCTATCTGAACTGGCTTCCCAGACATGCACACAAGGTTCTGAGAAATGCCAAATGAATGAAAACTATACTGTTGATCCTACCAATCTAATCTTGAACCAAATGATTGTCTGTGTAGAAACTTTTTTTTTGATAACCTCTATAGTGATCATATTATTTTGTGGCTATAGAAAAAACGGTCCTTTTCTTTTTCTTTTTTTCTTTTTTTTTTTTTTTTTTAAGGAAGCATTTGGCTGCCCTAGAAGCCAAAAGTCGTCAGTTTGTATTTCCTGTGACAGCTTCTCCTGCTGTACTTTACAGCTGACTCAAGTTTAACACAAGGATTTCTGTGGAATGAGTGGCAAAACCCCATTATTTCACCCAACACTTTTACAAAAGTCTCAAGAGAAGTAGTCTAGATTTTAGGCAATTGCTTATGATACCACTTGCAAGTTTGTGGGAGGTTATTTTTGCTTCACATTCTTCAACAAACAAGAAGATTTCTTTTGCAAAAGTAACTATAGAATTTTAGTTCTCTCTCAGTTTGTCTTTTGTTACTCCTTTTGCCCCAGGGTGCTGTATTAACTCCCTCGATGGAGCACACCATGTCACTACAGCCTGCATCTATGATCAGCCCTCTGGCCCAGCAAATGAGTCATCTGTCATTAGGCAGCACCGGAACAGTAGGTGGCATATTAATATCATGTGTTTCTGCAAATACAGGAAGGTTAAAGAGAATTAAGGCAGCCTAATAAAACACAGGATCAGCGGTGACAAAGATCATATCTGACTGCTTCTCCATCTAGCATTGTCATTCACAAAGTAAATACTCAGAAAATTCTTGATTAGTCAGTGACCTGAATGTTCATCCCTGGGTGCCTCTTCTTTACCAAAACATAGCACTCACACATGCCCACATCAAGCTTCTATAACTGGTGCTACAAGGCACAGGTTGTGAAGCGAAAGATGCAGGTGGTATGTGATGGGAAAGCAGGATATGTCTTCTCACTCATTCTCCTTTTATGGAGTGTTGGTTCACTGAATTATGGTATTCGTAGTGACTTGTTTTCAAAATATCCAAGGGACTGATTGGGTTATAGGTTGAGTTACTACCAGACTAACAATTTGATGTGCTTTAGAGGTTAGAATGTAGATAGACAAAGCATTTGGCTCAGCCTGTGTCTACAGTGACTGAAAAGGGCAAAGGGCAATATGTTTTCCCTATCATACTGAAAATCCACAGCAGCATCTTGGGAAAGTGAAGCTAGGACTATATATAGACCAGAAATTGGCTACAAATCCCACCTGCATTTGGAAAGATAGGGACTGTTGGCATCAGCAAAGCAAGGCTCCCTGGCATCATCTGCAGCGACTGTTAGCAGCCACCTTCAGGTTTCTCTCTTCAAAAACAGTATGAGGTATCAACTCAGGGAGTGGCCAGAAAATAACTTGGCCTCTGAGGAGAAATCTTATGACACATTTGGTGAAACTGAATTATTGCAGATGGGAAACATTAATGACATTCACATGTGTGCTTTTTGTTAGAAAAGCTGAAGAAACATGGTATTTTTAGTTGACAAGATGAAAACCTTGACTTTGCCTTCCATATGACTTATTTATATGCCCTAATTAAGCTTTGAAGGGAATCCATATAAATTTCTTGTTTGAGATCTCCAAACAAGATCTCCCCTCAAATATTCTGAATTTTGCATGGATTACCACTGTACATCCTGACCCTCTCCTCCTTTTCAGTACATGCCTGCTACGTCAGCCGTGCAAGGAGCCTATTTGCCGCAGTACACACACATGCAAACAACGGCGGTTCCTGTTGAGGTTGGTATAGCGCATCCAGTAGCCATTGTGGCAATGGGTAGTTTTACATATGAGTGAATTAAATAGAACTCAAAAAATCTGTCAAGAGTCAAGTATTTATCAAGGCATGGTGACACATGCCTGTAATCCCAGCACGTGAGAGGCTGAGGCAATAAGATCATGAGTTCAGTCCAACTTAGACTACTTAGCTAGACCATATCTCAGAAAAGAAAATAATCAAATATTTGCAAAAAGAATTTGGTCTAGGAGTATGCACTTAGTATTATTTTAAGTGTAAAATATTATTCTCTATGCAAATTAATATAGCAACATCCAGACCACATCTCCCCTTCAGACTCCCAAAATACTCACCAAGATTATATAGCACATTTTATATCGTGTCAAGGTTCTATCTTGTCAGCCCTAAAATGATACTTATAGGCACATGAAGATAAAGTTGGAACTTGAGTCCTAATACGAAAGATTGAATCAGTGGTAATAATTATAGAAAGAAATCATTCATAATTCAGGTAATGAATAAAGAAAAACTTGTGTTTTTTAACTGTAACGAGCATGAGGAAATAGCCTGTTTTTATGGCTAAGTACTCTTGGTCATTGTTTTAGAAGATATCGGAATGGCAGAAGTCTGACAGCTGAATCATGATCGAACAGGAAGCTTAGCATTTTCCTACAAAGTATCCTTAAGAGTCCAAGGAAGTTTATCAGTTCAATTTATCTGTCCCACTAGACAGACCCCAGAGGTTCCATCTCCAGGAAGGGCCACAGAACTGTGGTTTGTTATTATTTGCTTGATTGTACAACTTAAAACAAACACAGTTACCAAAACTGAATACTTCCATAAAATTGGAAAAGAAAACCTCCTTGTAACTACTTCAGAAAAAAATAAATAAATAAATAACCTGACCTATGGCAAAACCCAACTTGAACTGAGGCAAGACAAAAAAAATCAATATCCTAATTACTCTTGATTTTGGTTTTGTTTTTTTGTTGGTGATGGGTTTAATGGTACTAGGGATTCTACCAAGGCCTCTCACATGCCAGGCTCTACCACTGAGATATGTCCACATCCCTTTTTAAATGTTTTTATCTTGAAAAAGGTTTCAGTAAGTCATTGTACTTGGCTTAAATTCGATCTATAGACTAGGCAGGGCTTGAGCTTGAAGCATCCTGCTACCTCAGCCTTCTGACTATCTGGGATTATAAGCCCTGCACCACAAGGCCCTGCTTCCATTTACCATGTTTGTTCATGCTTTTTAGTTTAGAAGTCTCAGTAGGTTTGACTATGAGGTGTAGCCCTTTGCCTTCTGGAGGGTCGTGATATACTGCATATTCATACTGTCTACATTCCAGAATCTGAAAATACTCAATTTTAAACCAAACTGGCTGTCTACAGAGATGGGGTTAAGAGATTCCTTCAATAAATAAAAGTCAAGCATTTGGATGGGAGGTTCCTGGGGTCTGTCAGTTCAGCTATATTCATGCAGTGATTAACCTTAAAAGCTCTATATGGCATTAAAGAATTCACTTTAAAGACTGCTTTTATTAAGGCGTGTGCCCTTGGACTCTGTCAGGCCCGAGTTGCAGAGTTAAGATTCCATTGCTAACATGTCTCATGCATTCTGCTTTGTTGTAGGAAGCAAGTGGTCAGCAGCAGGTGGCTGTGGAGACGTCTAATGACCATTCTCCATATACCTTTCAACCCAATAAGTAACTGTGAGGTATGAGGGAAACATTTCCATAACTGTGGAGCTCAAGTCAAGCAGTCTGGGGTCTTTTTGATCAAAGTGATATTAGAATAACTCAGATTTCATGGCAATGCCTTAATTTTGGCAAGGCAGCCAATCTTATTGAAATATTAAAGTTAACGATCATGTGAATTTGAAGATTCTGTCCAGACAGAACAATGTTTTATTTTGAAGTCAAATATATATTTATTCTCCCCCACCAAATCATTAAAGCATCACAACGCATCAAAATTATCCTGTCATACAAGCATCCTGTGCTATATTGCTTGACTACCCAACTAGAGGAAATATAGCATAATATATTGTTTAATCACATCTCACAGGATTAGCAGTATCTGACTATGAATTTATACTGTTAGCATCCTTAGAGCAAAAGTTTATATTACTGGCTCTCACTTGAGTTACAACTTCATGTTAGTGCACGTGTTTTAGTAAAGCAACTATGTGGAATCCAGCTTCTGATTGCCCTGGTGACAGTCAGTGGTGTTGATCTCATCACATCGCCCTTCATTTGAGACCCACTTGTAGATTTGGCTCTGACACCCTTAGAAAAGAAAGTATCTTGCAAGTCCCAAATTTGAAAGGTGAACTTCAAGGCATTGAAAATGACCCTCAGGTCCCCAGCTTGCATCTCTCAGTCTGCCACCAGTAATGAGTACAGCTTTAACTCAAGCATGCATCTCTAAAACAAGAAACGGCAAAGCCCTGTGGGGTGTTTCTAGAAATCTACAAAAGCGTTTGTCTTTTATCTTTCTCTTCCAGGTGTACAGAAGGGAGTTCTTACATGAAGAAGGGTGTGAAGGCTGAACAATCATGGATTTTTCTGATCAATTGTGCTTTAGGAAATTATTGACAGTTTTGCACAGGTTCTTGAAAACGTTATTTATAATGAAATCAACTAAAACTATTTTTGCTATAAGTTCTATAAGGTGCATAAAACCCTTAAATTCATCTAGTAGCTGTTCCCCTGAACAGGTTTATTTTAGTAAAAAACTAAAAAAACAAAAAACAAAAAAAAAAACCAAAAATGAAAGATTTTTATCAAATGTCATGATGCAAAATAAAAAAAAAAAAAAGGAAAAAAAGAAAAATGAAAAAAAAGAGAAAAAGAAAACTTCAATTTTCTGGGTATGCACAAAGACCATGAAGACTTATCCAAGTGCATGACCGGATTTTTGCAGTTTTGTTCATTTTGTGTTTAATTTGTCTTTTTTTCAGCTGTATGAAATGGGCTTTCTGAAGTTTAAATTGTCCAACTTCATCCATGGTGTTCTGTGCTTGCCGTGCGAGTGTCACTGTAATTCAGTGTTGCTGTCATTGTCTTTCCTTAGCTTTCTGTTTTTCTTTCAACGTAGTGTGAAGTGTCTTATCCTTTTCTATGAATTCCAATTTGCCTTAACTCTTTTGATGCTGTAGCTGTTTCAGTAAAAGTTAGTTCAAACTAATGATGTAGAATGCTTTGACCAAATGAGCTGGTCGATTATGCCTTGTAAAACAGCAGCATAGGGCTTTTAAAAGGTAGTCAATAAAAGTTGCTGAAATTTTGGCTTTTTAAAATATGTAGTAGGTGTTTTTAATGACTTTTCACATAATGTGTAAGGTAGTGAAATGCAAGAAGGGAAAACTGTTTTGTGTGAAACACATTTTCTGACTGGGGAACTTTTAATAGGGTAAATTGTTTGTAAGGCTGTACACCAACAGTTTCCTCTGATAGTTTGACTGATTTAGGATATCTGCT